ACTCAGTGTATTGCACTAGTGTGCACTCATGCCATAGGCACTTGGGAGGCCAGCCCTAAGGAATTCCTGCGGGAGGTCAGTAGGGCAAGGCTGGAGCTGCCTTTTGCTTTGTGATGTCAGGAATTTCCTCCTACAGCCCACTTTCCATCATCTCACCAGTGACACACCTTGCTGCATCTAGAGGGCCCTGGGAGAGGGGCCTAGTTCTGCTATCTGGGGAGCTGGGGAGAAGCTGCAGCTTCTGAGCATCTCTCCCCCATTCCTGGAAAAGTAAGGTCAAGGCTTACTGGAGTCAGAAAGGATTTAGGGTGTAGCCATCTGTCCACAGCTGCCTCTGGGTGCCGGGTGCCCTGGTGTAAGTACTGGCCAGTGCTAGGATACCGGGGTGAGGAGGCAGACAAGTGCCCTGCCCTCATGGGGACCTTGAACATAATGAGTCATGGAACAGGAGCCATGAGGGGCATCTGGGGGCTCTCAGGATCACTAATGGAGCCTGCAGAGAAGTAAGATTCAAGCATCAAACCTGGTGAGGGCACCGGACACACAGGATAGGGGTCCATCAGCTAAGTTTTCCTGGGGGCTGTGAATTCCTGTGTTGGCCCAGAGTAGTTTCACTGCCCCCAGAAAAGGGACACTAGTGCCCTAGTGCCAAGACTTTGCTGGAGTTGGGGAAGTGTTGAGCCTCTGGAGCCTGACCATGTCCAGTTTGGAGCCAGGCTCAGGGGAGAGGTGGGGGAAAAGAATACCCAGGTTTCCTTTGGGCTATGGGGCCCATGGTGACTGTTTAGAACCTACAGGAAAGCCTTGAGGGCAGGGAGGCATGTGTGAGGTTTCCAGTGGGCTCCTGGAAGAGGCTGGCCTTGAGACTGGGTACACCTGGGCATTCTAGCAGTGACCTGGGCAGCAGTGCTTTGTGGCGAGAGGCATGGGGGGCAGCAAGCTGTCCAGTGTGATGTGGTCACAGAGTTGGGGTAGTGAGGCCAGAGACCTGATGAGGCTGACGCTGGGTACCCTTTCTAGTGGTATGGGGAGCCAAAGAGGGTGGTAGAGAGGGGCAGTGGCCAGAGAAGAGTTGTACTTTCTGAGAGTAATCTAGGGGTGATGGTGAGCAGGGTGAGTTGGCTTCTCCCCAGCCTGTGTTACCCCTCCACACACACATACTACTTTGTCCTTAAAAACCAATTCTAATCTCATTATTGTCTCTGGTGGCCAGATAGCGCTTGGACATTGGTCATTTTACCTGAGACCCTTCACTGTCTCACCCAGTGATAACAATTGCCAGCACCATAGAAGATGGTGTTGAGGGGTGGGACTGGCACTAGCCCTAGTCCCTAGTAGGTATGTGAGAGATATTTGGTGAGTCAGAGTCCCGGCAGTTTCTTTATTTCCTGATGAGTAAACAGGGCAGACCCAGGACCCTCGAGCTTCTGTTTCCTGAGCCATAGAGAGCACAAGGCCGGCCCCTCACCCCTGCCCCTTCCCACTCGGCTCTGGTGCACTCTAGAGCGCGTGCAGGCTTCCTGTCCCCCGTCAGGCAGACATGCCTAGCGTGCCTAGGGCCTGGCCTGGCTGGATGGAGGAGGGGCTTGTATGTGCAGACGTGTACATGTGTGTTCTGTAGAGGGGGAGGGGAGCAGCTTTTAGGCTAGGCTGTCACTGCTGAGAGGGGCCACTAGGTGATTCTGTCTCTGTGGCAAAGACAGGTTAGGAGAGGGCACAGACAAGCAGACACAGGGACAAGGAGAGAGACAGAAAGATGAGATAGATGCAGGGTAAACCAACCTTAGAGTCAAGTGACGATGCAAGCCTTGGTGAGTGGATCATGGCTGGAGTCAGCCACTGCTCCCCCCTTGAAGGTGGATGCCCCTGTGTGGTGAATATCACGCACAACTGCGAATGGCAGCCTTGATACAGAAAAGGAGTAGGCTGGTGCAGTTCCTGGAGCCTGTAATCCTAGCACTCTGGGAGGCCGAGGCAGGTGGATTGCTTGAGCTCACAAGTTCAAGACCAACCTGGACAAGAGTGAGACCCTGTCTCTACTAAAAATGAAAACCTGAGACAAGACGATCTCTTGACCCCAAGAGTTGGAGGTTAGAGTGAGCTATGACGCCATGGCACTCTACTGAGGGCAACAAAGTGAGACTCTGCCTCAAAAAAAAAAAAAGAAAGAAAGAAAGAAAGAAAGAAAGAAAGAAAAGAAGGAGTGAGGCAGAAAGACAGACCAAGAACCTGATGGAGAAAGGAAAAAAAGATAATAGTTTCTGAAGAAAAGAAGAACATAAGTCAAAAAGGAAGAGGCAGGAAGCCTGGAACATGGGAGATTCTATTTCTGCATCTGCATCCATTGAGCAACAATGCTCTACTCCAGGGCGGTTGCTGGAACAAGCAGCTCCACTTTACAGATGAGGAGATAGAGAATCAGAGAGCCCACATAACACAAGTGAGGCCACACAGCTTGGCCATATGGGAAGTGGGGAGAGACTGAGGCCGGAGAAGGCAGAGGAGCCGCACAGGCACTCAGGCCCAGGGGTGAGGGAGGCAGAGCCCAGGCACCCTGCCTTACCAGCTGCCTCTGGCTTGAAGATGCACCTGGCGGACAGCCCATCCTTCTGGGGGATCAAGTTCTCTGGGCCTTGGCCCCCTCCCACCTCTGCTTCCTTTCTCTTTGTCAGCATTTGTGGTCCCTTCCCATCCCCATTCCCGGATCATCCTGGGGGTTCTTCAGAAAAAAAGCAAGGAACAGTTTTTCTTGGAATTAATACTCAAAGGGCATGATAGCGCCAAGGGGAGGAGGATGGGGCCACCTTGGGTGCAGGAGGAGGAGTGGGATTGAGGACGCTGTCACAGAGACTGTCCCAGGTGCTTTATCTGTATTAACTCATTCAACCCACATGACCACCTGCAAAGCAAGTACTATCACCACCCCCATTTTACAGATGAGGGGATAGCGGGCTGGCATGCTCATGTAGGTTTGAACTTGGACAGGTGAGAGGTGCAGAGCTCAGGGGTTATTCTAAGCAACACCACTTCCCAGAGAAGTTGGAAGGGAGCTGGTGGATCCTCTCCTGTCCACAGGAGCTCAGACTCCCCCCTCCCCACAGAGAGGGCACAGAAGGCCCCCACCAGAGGGAACTAGCTGAGCATGAGCCTGGAGAAGACCAGGGAGGCTGAGGGGGTGGGCCATGTGTGGGCTTGAAGGCTGGGAGGGCAGGGATGCTGGGCCATGCAGGCAGGCCTGGGACCTCAGGGCTTGGCCAGGAGCCCAGGCGATTTGCATCTCGAGGTGGAGGAGAGAGAACTGTCAGCTCATTCTTGACTGTAAACACATCTCCGTTCCCACGCTTCTGATCATGTTCTGGAGACAGCCCCCACCCCCATCCTCTTCTCCTGTCCAACCCCCTGCCAGCTCCCCCACCCCCAGAACTGAGGCTATTAAAAAAAAAAGATGCAGAGCCCCTGGGCTTCCCATCTGGGCTCAGGAAAGACTGGAATTATGGGGAGGCCTCTGCCGCTGCCTGGGTTTGGATCCCCACTCTCTGACACTACTGGCTGTGTGGTCTTGGGCAGTTTCTTGCCCTCTCTGTGCCTACTTCCTCATTCTAAAGTGGACTATAACACCAACCACAATGGGCTGATGTAAACTTTAAATGAGATGCTCCATGTGAATCTGGAAGCACCCTGCCTATCCAAACACAGGAAAGGGTGCATGCGGTCACATGACTTCACATGACTTTTCTTGTCACAAGGCAAGGTGTTTGGGTCCCTTACATCAGAGGCTCAGAGGATAAGGGTTGATCAGGGTGGGGAAGGAGTTGGAAGATGCACAGTGTCCAGTGCAGTATGTACTGTAATGTACAGTGACACTCGCCTCTCTGTCTAAGGAGAAGCGAGCCTGCAGTAGGGAGGTCAGGTGTCCCCTCTGTGAGTACATGTGGGCCCAATTAACGGCCCAATGCTGCCTGGGAAGGGTGGCCAGGGCCTTAGGCACCCTCCTCAGGGACAAAGGCTTAAAAGGGAACACGTCTGGGAGGCCAGACTGGGGCTCTGGGCCCTGGTCTAGCCTGTGTCCTGCCTCTGGGGGCTTAAAATGATCAGGCTAAACCCTTCCTCTTTCTGCCAGGACCCACGCCCTACCTTTCTCCTCCCTGTGGACCACCCAGTGGTCTCCCCTGAGCCCACCCTGGCTTCTGGCCCTTGCACTAGCCTGCACATGCCTCCCCCGCACTCCAGCCCCACCCTGAGGACCTTTGGGAAACAGAACCTCCCCACCCCTCCACTGGCCTCCCAGCCAGCTGGGGTGGGCGTGGAGGTCAGTCAATTCCTCCTCATGCCCTTCGTCCTCCTCCAGACCCATCTCCAAGCCCCAGGTGAAGCAGCATCACCCTTAGAAGTTAGTTGGGAGGAGGTGATAGGACACTGGCTGTTACTCAGGGCTGGAGTAGGGGCTGATGTGAGTGGGAGAAAGGACTTTCTCTGGACTAAACAACAGCTCAGCCTATAGGACCCCTATTCCTTGTGCCTTAACTCAAGTCCTTTCTTTTCTTTTTTTTTTTTTTTGAGACAGGAGACTCAAGCTGTCCCCCTGGGTAGAGTGCTGTGGCATCACAGCTCACAGCAACCTCCAACTCCTGGGCTCAAGCGAGTCTCCTGCCTCAGCCTCCCAAGTAGCTGGGACCACAGGCGCCTGCCACAATGCCCAGCTATATTTTTTGGTTGCAGCCGTCATTGTTGTTTGGCAGGCCCGGGCTGGATTCGAACCCACCACCCTGGGTGTACGTAGCTGGCGCCTTAGCTACTTGAGCCACAGGTGCCGAGCCAACTCAAGTCCTTTCTGTGACAGGTTTTGTCTATCCCATGCTACATGCTCAGGAGGCAAGCCACTGTGTTTAGGATGGTGGGAAGATAGAGTCCTCTTTACTCCCTGCTGGCAGTCATGTTCCCTGCTGTCCCCCTAGCCTAGCTGGCTCTGTTTCCTGTTTTTAGGCTCCATATCCTGAGCACCAGGATTCCCCAGAACAGTCCCTGGCCCTCAGGCCCTGGGGCTCAGGACTGAGCTGCTGCAGGCCCTACTGGGTGAGTTACTTGGGGACAGAGGAGGCATGGAGGGAGCAGAGATCTGTGCTGGACATGTGATGGCGAGGAGCACTGTGGCTCTGCCAGACTTGATGGGGTGGGTAGACCCTTGCCACAGGTGGAGATTTGGCTGCTGGAGGGTTAAAGGAGGTGGGTGGAACACAGCAGGGAGCCAGGGTGAAGTTAGAGAGCAGACCTAGAGGGAAGGAAGGGCTGCCTGATTGGAGCTGGGAAGCTGTGGGGACCCTGGGAGTGTGTGGGTGGGGGGCGTGGGGTGGGGCCGGGGCAGCATTCCAGAGATGCTCAGAGGGTGAGGGGCCAACAACCACGACCTTTCTCTCTTCTCAGAAAAATTATAAACAGATGTGGGTGCCTCAGGGGAGTGTAGAGGAGGGAGTCACTCCAAGTTTTAGGACCACGGAGGACAGAACCTGAAACCAGCCACAGGGCAGGCAGTCCCGGCACTGAGAGAGCAGGCTCATCTGAAGCCCTGGTCCTGACCTTCCTCCCACTCAGGGGTGGCAGAGGCAGAGATGCACATTTCCAAATGGCTACAGGGCAGTAGGAGCATTTCCTTAAATCCGAGTCTAGATTGAGGCCTCTCCCTAACAATTTCAGCACCTGGAGCTGGGTGCAGAAGTATGCTGGCAGATGTTTAACAACTGTGCTGATGGGGGTGTTGGGCACCGGCTCTGGTGTTTGCCAGTTTCTGTGGTGTAAATACACGTCCTCCCCACACTTGCTTTCAAGCTACTCACGGGTGATGTCACTGATCCTAGAGTTGGGAAGAGATGCTAGCTCCAGCACACCGGTGGTTCAGAGGTGGGGAGGTTGCCTCTCTGGCATCCTGGGCCTGGATGCAGTCCCACTCCCACCCCATAGCAGGAAAGCCCTGACAGTATTCCATCAGGCAGGTTTGGCTTCTCCTTACATACATCCAGTGATGGGGAGCTCACCACTTGACACAGCTGCTTCCATCTTGGAACTGCTCCTTTGGACCAAGTTTGCTTCCTTCTTAAAATTCTCTCTGGTTCCAGTTTCACACCTTGGTAAAAATACCAAAGTGTCCTGGGTGGGGGACAGGCTGGGGGCTGGGGATTCAGAGACAAAGGCCATTGGGTCCCTGTCTCTGGAGGTCATGGTCAGGAAACAAGCACTAGAACAGTGCTGCTGGGGGACCTCAGAAGGAAAGGGTGGAAGACAGTCTGCCAACAGAGGTCAGGGAGCAGAGCACAGTAGAAGGGGTGGCACTTGAGCTTGACCTTGAAAGATGAGTACTGCACTGAAGAATGAGGGTTGAGCAAAGACTGGAGGCTTGGAAGTGCATTGAATGTTTAGGAGTGACCTCTGGGCCAGGGGACTGGAGGCAGCAGCCTCGGTTTCCTCTCCATGCCCCCTGCACAGACCTCCGCAGACCAAGTGCCCCCCACCTGTTCTGCATCTGGCCAGTGCAGGCCTCTACAATGTTGCCACCTCTGCGTCCCCTCCTTCTGGCCCTGGGCCTGGGCCTGGCTGGAACTCTCAACCCCAATGATCCCAACGCCTGCAGCTTCTGGGAAAGGTGAGAGCTCTGTTCTCCCTGCTGGGGCTCCTTTGCTTGTTCCTTCTCTTGTCTTTCCCCTCCCTCCCATTTCTCTTACTCCATCCCCATCTCTGGCCCTGCTACAGTCAGTGTCCTATCTCTATCCCTGGCCCTTGGTCTCTGTAGGATGCCAAGTGCAAAACAGAGTGGCAGGGTGGGATCCCGCAGAAGGGCTGGCCTGGGAAGAATGGCCTTGGGAAACAAGATCCAGGGCAGAATTTAGCCAGAAATGCTGCAACGCTTCTCCATCCACTGGGCCCCAAAGTCAGCTCTAGCTCAGCCTCCCCATGGAGGGAAGAGAGGAGAGAAAAATGCAAGGCCCTGGTCCAGTAGGGTTCGCAGGGGCCCAGCTGGCGGTGTCCCAAGAACATTCTAGTTCTGGGAGAAGCCTTCTAGACTTGAGAGTTGGGACAGGAAGGGGGGGGTCCTATCCTAGCCCTGGCGGAGCAAGCTCAAATGTTGGGTGTCATCCCCACTGTGGCCCACGCGTCTCCCTGCTGCTTTCCTCTGTGCCCTGTGCCAGCTCAGGCCTCCCTGCCCTAGGCTGACCCAGTTCCCTGTCTTGCAGCTTCACTATCACCACTAAGGAGTCCCACTCCCGCCCCTTCAGCCTGTTCCCCTCGGAGCCCTGTGAACGGCCCTGGGAGGGCCCCCATACCTGTCCCCAGCCCACGTGAGTGCTCCCTCCTTCTCCATAGGGCAGATGGGCTGCTGGAGTCACTGCCTCAGCCTGGCCCTCTCAGAACCTTTAGAATTTAGAGGAAACTCCTGGGCCCAAGCCCTCATTCCCACCATGGTGCTCATGTGGTTTGTGTGGGGTATGTGTATGGACATGTATGTTTGGATGTGTACTTGCGGTACATTGCATGTACATATGGCTGGGTGGAGGACCAGGAGGGAACACTCTGCTCCCCCAACCCAGGGTGTTGGGCATTTCCCACGCCCTGGCCTCCCTAATGCCTCACTGCTGTGAGGGTGGATGGGACTCAGGGGGGTACACTGAGGGCTGCCTTCGACCTCCCCAGGGTTGTCTACCGGACTGTGTACCGGCAGGTGGTGAAGACGGACCACCGCCGGCGCCTGCAATGCTGCCGGGGCTTCTATGAGAGCAGTGGGGCCTGTGTCCGTGAGTCTGTGTTGGGCCAGGGAGGGGCAGTGGGACAGTGGAATGGGGCAGCTCAGCCCATCCTTCTTTTTTTTTTTTCTTTTTGTATTTTTTGAGACAGAATCTCACTCTGTTGCCATGACCTCAGACTAGCTCACAGCAAGCGATCCTCCTGCCTCAGCCTCCTGAGTAGCTGCTACAATAGTCACCGGCTACAATGCCCAGCTAATTTTTCTATTTTTAGTAGAGACAGGGTCTTGCTTTTACTCAGGCTACTCTTGAACTCCTGAGCTCAAGCACTCTGCCTCCCAGAGTACTGGATTACAGGTGTCAGCAGCAGGGCCTGGCTTAGCCCACCCTTCCGAGTTCTCCCTGCTTTCACCAGGGTGGGGCCACTCCTCTGCCCCTTTGGGTTTTCTTCCCCCACCTCTGGTATTGTCCTTAGGGTCTCAGCACCTCCTTCTCTAGCACCACTTCACACCCCTATCTCCACCTGGCCCCACCTATCTCCCATCCTATCTGTCCATGACCGTAAGAAGTCTTCATCTTAGCATCTCTCTGCCTCAGAGCTCTCTTTCAGTCTCTGGACCATCTCTGTGTCTCTTTGTCATTGTGTATCTGGGGACTTGGGGTCTGGATCTGACTCTGTCTCTTCCTGTCCTGTCTCTCTGTTGTTATGTTTCTGAATTGTCACTATCTAGTCTTTCCTGCCCACTGCCCCCCATCACCCTATAACCCCCCAGGTGGGAGCTGGCCCTCTACCTCCCCTTTCCTTCTGCCCTAGCTCTCAGTCCCTACTTTCTCTGAGGACAGCATCCATGTCAGACCCCACCTGAGGATCTCCTTCATCCTATGCCAATTTCCCAACAGGGTGCTTAGAGAATTTCACAAAAAGGGGCTGAGGAGCCAGGAACCCTGGCATCTGGTCAAGTTCTGACCCTGAGTGGCCTCTTAGTCTGTCTGTATCTTAGAAGCAGAATGGGTGCTTAGAGAACTCCAGGTCCCTGGTGTAGAGAAGACAGGGTTAGCTGTCATAGGGTGAAAGGTGGGTAGGGGTGGATGCACTGTCTACTCACACCCATCTCTATCCTAGCCCTCTGTGCCCAGGAATGTGTCCATGGCCGCTGTGTGGCGCCCAATCAATGCCAGTGTGCACCAGGCTGGCGGGGTGATGACTGTTCCAGTGGTGAGTGGCTGGTGACCACAGGGAGTAGCCTCTTGTGCCTTTAGGGACATAGGACCCCAAAGCACACCCCACCTACCAGGACAGTTACCTAGCAGAGCCCCATTAAGGCCAGCTGCCTTTTCTAGAAAAGAGAACAGGCATGGGGGAGGCCAGAGAGACAGAGGCAGGGATTAACTGGAGGCTGGGGAGGGGCTAGACCCCTGGTGACCCTCTTCCATTCTCCTTACCCCACAGAGTGTGCCCCAGGAGTGTGGGGACCACAGTGTGACAAGCCTTGCAACTGTGGCAACAACAGCTCCTGTGACCCCAAGAGTGGGGTCTGTTCTTGCCCTTCTGGCCTGCAGCCCCCAAGCTGCCTGCAGCCTTGCACCCCTGGCCACTATGGCCCTGCTTGCCAGTACAGCTGCCAGTGCCATGGGGCACCCTGCGATCCCCAGACTGGAGCCTGCTTCTGCCCCGCAGAGAGAACTGGGCCCAGGTGCATGATGGAGGCAATATCACATCAATGAGACTGTAGAGCAGGACCACATAGACATGTGGAGGGGAATGTGGTGACTCAGACAGGATCCTAAACATGGGAATGGTGTCTAGAAGCCAAGATCCTAGTCCCAGCTCTCTCCCTCACTAGTGGAGTGACCTTGAGCAAATCATTGGCTTTTCATGAGTTTGTTCCTTGTCTGTGAAATGGGAACAGCATTGTCTGCCTCTAAGGGGTGACATGAAGACATAAGGCAGCCTACGTGTGAAAGCATATTGTGAGGTGAGGCTAAGACAAGGGCTCAGGGGAACTCTGTTGCAAGGCAGGGTACAGGAAGAGCTGGGGTGTCACAGAAGGGAGAAGGTGCCCTGCAGTGGAAATCAGGCTCATGCTTTAGGGAGGAACTCCAAGAGCTCTCTAGAAAAACTACAGTGAGCACAGGTGTGCCCCAGAAAGAGACATGCCTCCCCCAGGGCTCTTTGCTCTCTCCCACCTGTGGGTTCTGGGGTGTCCCTGCATTCCTATCCTGGAAACCTTTGCTTTCTGACTCCTCAAGTCCCCAGTAGGGTAAGGCAGGTGTAAATCACTAACCCTTGGAGGCTGGGGGCAGGGGAGGCAGATACTGCTTGTTTACACACTGACCTCACCCATTTTGTCCACCAGCTGTGATGTGCCCTGTCCCCAGGACACTGCTGGCTTCTGCCCCAGCACCGATCCTTGCCAAAACGGAGGTGTCTTCCAGGCCCCCAAGGGCCCCTGCAGCTGCCCCCCTGGCTGGATGGTATGGGGCGAGTCTGTGGGTATGAGTATGAGTCGGGTATGAGTATGAGTCTGAGGAGCATTCCATGGATGGCTCTAAACAGCGCTGAGGGGGTGGGTTCTGGGGATGTGGGGGTGTCAAGGGTTCCTATGGCTATGGGAGGGGGCTGGGCTCCTGGGGCTCTACCTATCTCTCACTCTCACAGGGCGCCATCTGCTCCCTGCCCTGCCCCGAGGGCTTCCACGGACCCAACTGCTCCCAGGAATGTCGCTGCCATAACGGCGGCCTCTGCGACCGATTCACCGGGCAGTGCCGCTGCACTCCGGGCTACACCGGGGATCGGTGAGTGGTGGCGGCGCGGGGGCGGCGGAGGTGGCTGGAGGAGGTGGTACAGCGGACTCACTTGGCCGGGCTGTAGGTGCCGTGAGGAGTGCCCTGCTGGCCGCTTCGGACAGGACTGCGCGGAGACTTGCGACTGCGCCCCCGGCGCCCGCTGCTTCCCGGCTAACGGCGCGTGTCTCTGCGAACACGGCTTCACTGGGGACCGCTGCGCAGAGCGCCTCTGCCCCGATGGCCTCTACGGCCTGGGCTGCCAGGAGTCCTGCACCTGTGACCCGGAGCACAGCCTCAGGTTGGCCATGGGACGTGTAGTCCAGGGCTCTGGAGGCCAAAGGGGAGGTCTTGGGGACTGGAGCCGCCACAATCACGAAAAGCGCCAGGGGCACCTCCAGGTGTCCAAGGGTCACGGAAGGGAAAAGGGAGAGACCTGGTGGCGAGGAGGGGTCGAGGCTGTAGCACGTGCCGCAGCCTTCCCGGGGGCTTTTTTGGTGATGCCTGGCTTAGGTTCCTGGAGACTGGCCTGCCCACACCCCTCCCCCAACCCTACCCCTGCCTGGCTCAGACCTCCCGGCGCCCCAACCCCTCCTGCAGCTGCCACCCGATGAGCGGGGAGTGCTCGTGCCTACCAGGCTGGGCAGGCCTCCACTGCAATGAGAGCTGCCCGCAGGACACGCACGGCCCGGGCTGCCAGGAGCATTGTCTCTGCCTGCACGGCGGCACCTGCCAGGCCGCCAGTGGCCACTGCCAGTGCGCGCCAGGCTACACGGTGAGGACGCGGCCAGGAGAGAGGGAGGTGCGGGGAGGGCCGAGGGAGCGCCCCACCCTCTCATCAGCACGCCCACCTGCTCCCAGGGCCCTCACTGCGCTAGCCTCTGTCCCCCGGACACTTTCGGTGTCAACTGTTCCACACGGTGTTCGTGCGAAAATGCCATCGCCTGTTCACCCATCGACGGCGCGTGCGTCTGCAAGGAAGGTAACAGCTCAGGGGTCTTGCGGCGGGGAAGTAGGACGGCTCCAGGGTACCGCAGGCCTAAGGCAGGGGAAGGGTGAAGGGCGAGGGCGGAGCTTACCGCGCAGCAGCTGGACGGTGGGAAAGTATCCAGGCTGTTTCCTTTCTGGAATATCCACTCAGCTTTTCTTCAACTACAAAAATCCTATTTGTCCTTAAAGGCCCAGCCAGAGGCCGCTCATCAGTGAACACTCCTTACGCTCAGTTATGCGGATACACACAACTGCAGCGCTGCACAACGGTAGCGGCAGGAAAGGCCTGTGCAGTCTGTTAGTGGTGGCGCGTTTGCAAACTTTGGCTAAATTATGACAAGCTGTATTTTGTTTCCATAGCTCTCTCTTAAATTTACCAAAGCTCCATTCTCCAGTCCCCACTACTCCCTACTGTATTACGTGGGATCTGGAAGACTCATTTAGTTACCCGATGGGACCTCTGTAAGCATTTGGGTTTGCTGCCAACCCTTTCGTTTTTCAGAAGAGGCAACCAAGAACCAGAATGGGGTGGTGCTTCCTGGAAAGGCCTTCAGCCTTCCTCGTGTCATAATTTACATTACTAAGCTCCTGTCTTGTACGGTGGGGAGAGTACCCCATCCCACTGCAGCTTGCAGCACAGCCAACACCCAGTGTGTGCTGGCTCAGGAGGGGAGCTGGGTGCTCACACTCACCACGAGGCCCCTCCTCCAGGTTGGCAGCGTGGTAACTGCTCTGTGCCCTGCACACCTGGAACCTGGGGCTTTGGTTGCAATGCCAGCTGCCAGTGTGCCCATGAGGCAGTCTGTAGCCCCCAAACTGGAGCCTGTACCTGTACCCCAGGGTGGCAGGGGGCCCACTGCCAGCATCCCTGCCCGGTGAGTGCTTGTCTGTCTGTCTGGAGTGGGGAGAGGAAGGGGATTGTGTCCCTAGCTGACTGGCCTACCCTACTCTGCACTCCCTTTCCAAGAAGGGGCAATTTGGTGAAGGTTGTGCCAGTCGCTGTGACTGTGAGCACTCTGATGACTGCGATCCTGTTCATGGACACTGCCAGTGCCAGGCTGGCTGGATGGGTGAGCATTCTCAGGCCCCAGGTCTACTGTGGAGTTGGGGGATGTATCACCCCAGAAATATGTCCAGAAGAGCCCCTGTGGAACAGGAGGGAACCAGGCCTGGCATACCTTATTTCTCTCTCCCACAGGTAGCCGCTGCCACCTGCCTTGCCCCGAGGGCTTTTGGGGAGCCAACTGTAGCAACACCTGTACCTGCAAGAATGGGGGCACTTGCCTCCGTGAGAGCGGCAACTGTGTGTGCACACCTGGGTTCCGAGGCCCCTCCTGCCAGAGACGTGAGGCTCTCTACCACCCACCACCACCTGCCCGTAGCAGGGTGCATGCAGTGTCAGATGGCAGAAGTCCCCACTCTCCCTCTCTTGGTCTCTTCCCTGACCCCGCTATTCAGGCCAATTGCTACAGTGGGAAGGCTGGGGGAGATAGCAGTGGCAAGGGTAGACAGAGTTTACCACTGCCTCAATTACCATGCACCCCTCTCTCCCAGCTTGTCAGCCCGGCCGCTATGGCAAACGCTGTGTGCCCTGCAAGTGTGCCAACCACTCCACCTGCAGCCCCTCGGATGGGACCTGCTACTGCCTGGCTGGCTGGACAGGCCCAGACTGCTCCCAACGTATGTGGTGGCTTCTATATCTGAGCACATGTGTGTGCTAAGTGGGTGACCTGAGGACAAGAGGCTTTCCCCTCTCTCGGGTATAAAAGCCTCTGGCCCCACTTCGATTCAGTTGTTTATATAACCAATATAAGCAAGTATTTACTGGGCATCACCTGCATGCTAGGTGCTGCTCTAGGTCTTGAGGATGCAGCAATAAACAGGTCAGGAAAGGGCAGTAGTTTTATTGGGGAGGGGGAGGACTCTTAAGCTTTGTTTTGTACACATTCTTTTTTTTTCTTCTGAATTTTTCACTATTTATTTATTTAGTAGGCCTCTCTCCCACAAAAATATATGAGGAAGATCATGGAAAAGATTAGTCCAAGAAAGCTGAGTAAAACAAAATTTGAAAAGGGGAAATGAAAGGCTATTAATATGAAATAGGCTGGATTTAAGGTCCTCAGTGGTCAGGGGAAAAGGGAAATGATCTCATTAAAGCGTTTTTCCATAGAATTAGGTAACAGTCACTATTAGATTATTTGCCAGAGTCAGATACACAAAAATAAATGCCTTAAATAGATGGACATTTATTTCTTTTGTGTATTTAAAAAAAATAGTCCAGAGCTAAGCTGTCCAGCATAATTCAGAAGCCTTTGATTGTCTGGAATGGGATACATTATTTTGAAATGGCTATTAGTCGAGTGCAGGTGTTAAGTAAGTAGATGGGCATGTAGATCTAGAATATACAGAAGATCTAAGCATTTGTGAGTCATAAATGTGTAGGTGCTGTTCAAGGCTTGGTGTCCCTAGTGAGACCACAGTAATGCTGGGGGCTGAGAGGTGATCTGGGAGGGGCTGGCTCTGCCCACCAGACATGTCCCTTGTCTCCTGTAGCATGCCCCCCAGGATTCTGGGGAGCCAGCTGTGCCCAGCCCTGCCAATGTCACCATGGTGGGACCTGCCACCCTCAGGATGGGAGCTGTGTCTGCCCTCCAGGCTGGACTGGACACCACTGCTTGGAAGGTACCAACAGAAAGGAAACTCCATGCCCCTGTCCCCAGCTTATCCCTTGCCCAAAGAGGACTTGGCTTCTGATTGCTGCTTACCTGCATGCTGCCTCCTCAGGCTGCCCTCTAGGGATGTTTGGTGCCAACTGCTCCCAGCCATGCCTATGTGGTCCTGGAGAAAGGTGCCACCCAGAGACTGGGGCCTGTGTGTGTCCCCCAGGCCACAGTGGTGCACCTTGCAGGATCGGTGAGTTCTTAGCTCCCTCTCCCCAACTCCATCATCCCTAGGGAATGAGCACCTAGGTCCCTGTTACCACCCCTGCCTCCCTTCTGGGTACCTCTCCTATGCATGTACCCCAAGCTCACCAGCTGAGCCTTGATGCCATTCTAAGGGACCACTCCATCCTGTATAGGAAGCCAGGAGCCCTTCACCATGATGCCTACCTCTCCAGTGGCCTATAATTCACTGGGTGCAGTGATTGGCATTGTGGTACTGGGGTCCCTCGTGGTGGCCCTGGTGGCACTGTTCATTGGCTACCGCCATTGGCAAAAAGGCAAGGAACACCACCACTTGGCAGTGGCCTACAGCATTGGGCGGCTGGATGGCTCTGAGTATGTCATGCCAGGTAAGCTGGTGGGCGTGGGGCACAGATGAGGGGCGGCTCATAGGCACAAGGGCAGACGGGGTGCTGGGCGTGAACCCCTGGCAAGGTAGGAAGTAGGGAGGACAAGGGGAGGTCAGGGAGCCTCATTACCTCCTGGGACAGAGATGCTCCTGGGCCTGGCCTGCCCCTGAGCCCACCCTGTGTCTGTTGTGCAGATGTCCCTCCCAGCCACAGCCACTACTACTCCAACCCCAGCTACCACACCCTGTCACAGTGCTCCCCAAACCCTCCGCCCCCAAACAAGGTCAGTGCTGGGGTAGGGGGATGCACCATAAAGGGACAGGCTCAGATATAGTTCTCTGGAAAGCCCTGTTGGTGCACATGGCTCTCCCTTTCACTGTCCCCTATCAGGTTCCAGGCAGTCAGCTCTTTGCCAGCCTTCAGGTCCCTGAGCGTCCAGGTGGAGCCCAGGGGCACGACAGCCATGCCACACTGCCTGCTGACTGGAAGCACCGTCTGGACAGGGGTAGATTCCTGGAGACTGCAGCACTGGGGAGGGTGGGGCTGTGCAGCTCCAAATCTTCCCCTCCAGTGTGTCTGAGTGGCAGAGGTGGGGCCTGGAGATGGGACCAGAGATCTGACTGCCAGCTCCCTTCTCCTCCTCAGGTGGCAGCCGCCTAGACAGAAGCTACAGCTATGACCACAGCAATGGTAATGGCCCAGGCTTGTTCTACAATAAAGGTGAGAATGCAGGGCCCTGAGGAAGGGGCTGAGCCAGGTTAAGGAGCTAATGCCTCCTTGGAGCCTGACCTCTTCCTTCTATTCTTAGGACCTACCTCTGAAGAGGGGCTGGGGGCCAGTGTGGTGTCCTTGAGTAGTGAGAACCCTTATGCCACCATCCGGGACCTGCCTGGACTGCCAGGAGGGGCCCGGGAGAGCAGCTACATGGAGATGAAAGGCCCCCCCTCAGCTTCTCCCTGCAGGCAGCTTCCCCAGCTCCAGGACAGCCAGAGGTGGTGGCAGTCCCAGCCTCAAAGAGACAGCGGCACCTACGAGCAGCCCAGTCCCCTGGTCCATGGTGAGCCCTCCTCGCGTCAGGGCAGGGGCTAGAAAGAACTGGGGTGAGAGAGGTACAAAGAAGGGATGGGTGGAGAGGCAATCGCATGATGTGTCTGCCAGAATGAGGCCTCAAGGTTAGATCTGGGCCCAAAGCAGGCCTGCTATGGAGCAGGTCACACTGCCTCTCAGAGCACATCTCCTTGCCTGTCAGACAGAGTGGTGTCCCCTGCCTCACAGGGCTGAGGATTTGAAATGAGGGCTATAGCGCCTGAGTGGTGGGGTTGGTACCCAGAAAACTGAGGAACCAGGCAGGTGACAAAACGTCCTCATATCTTGTGAAGTGGGCAGGCTGTAATGGCTTCTCTCATTAGCAGCTGAGGAACTGGGAGGTTGTGGCTCAGAGCCACATGGCCTGTTAGGGGTAAACTGCCCCTGCTGGGCCCTGTCCCCTTTTCTTTGGGCTGCAGAGGGTGATGGGAAAGGAAGGAGCCACCCCCTTGTCTTTTCCCCTCCGTCTCCAGACAGGGACTCTGTGGGCTCCCAGCCACCACTCCCTCCAGGCCTGCCCCCTGGCCACTACGACTCACCCAAGAACAGCCACATCCCTGGACACTATGACTTGCCTCCAGTGCGCCACCCCCCATCGCCTCCACTTCGACGCCAGGACCGTTGAGGGGCCAGGGTGGTATGGCAGAGGCCAGCATACTTGGCCCTTGCTTCCCGATGCTTGGGACAGAGCCTGGTGTGCCCTGCCAGAGCAGGGAGTGGACTACCAGGCTGCATACATGAACATGTTTAACTGAGGAGGTGTGTGGAGAGATGGGAGCCTGGCTTCCAGGCATCATCACAGAAGATGCTGGTCAGCAGGATGCCTGCTTCCCTTCTCCTGGCTCCCTGTTCACGGCCTCCTGCTCCAGGGCCCTATGTATATAACCGGTGGGTTGAATGTTGTTGGATGACTCTGATCTCAGATTGATTTCAAAAGTTCATATTGAGTATCTTTCCTGGGCCTGCCCAGGCTGGGCTATGTGTGTGTGTGTGTGTGT